TCCTTACGAAATTTGAAATAAAACAAGAATTATCGAAACTAAATTCTTTCTNNNTTTTTTTTTTTTTCAATTTTTCCAAATTATCGGGCAAGAACGCAAGAAGAAGAAGAAGAATAGAAAAATCGAGCAGGTTCTCTCTCTTACGCTTATTTCGTTCAACCTCTCGCATTGGTACCAATCATTCCTTCCGTTCAATCCGGGACGGCAGACTGCCACGCAGGCTGCGAAACACGTAGCCAATATTATCGTTCCTCCCAGCGAGCCTCTCATGTTCCGCGAAATTTCACCGACGACTATCCCCGGCACGCCTCCGGGATTCGCCTTTTATACCGATTCGAATCGAGAGAGGCAGCGCGTGTCGTGGCCTCGATTCGATTTAATGATATTCAATCCGACCGCAGACGTTAATGTCACGGTCGGCCATGGAAAATATAAAAGCTGGGGAAATACGTCTCCAAGAATAAACACACACACAGTGGATTCCATGCTGCATTTGCGCATTAAACTAATAAAACGATAAAACGAGTTTCCTCGTGCGAGCTCGAGGAAAACAGAGTCTTCTTCTTTCGTTCCTTTGCTGTCGTTTCTTTTCTCTCTCTCTCTCTCTCTCTCGAGACAAACGATCGACTTATCGAAGAGGAGGACATCGTTGCGTCGATTATATTGGGGATACTCACGCGAGCCACGTCTCTTTCACGCACAACGATTCAAAGGGGGAGAGGAACGTAACCGATCGAATAATTAGGATTCCTCTTCGGATTCCCCGTGTCACCTGTGTTAATGTTCTTGTTCTGGGACGGAACCGGTTCCCTCCTCGATTCACACAGAGCCGGCCGCAATATCGATCGCGAGAGATCGCTTCCTTTTCACGCCTTTCGCGGCTTCCCTGGAATGGAAATTACTTTTGGCGTGTGCGTTGAAAATGGAGATGGAGGCACGCGAGTCATTGAACGTTTCTTTTCTTTCTCACGAATTTACCCATTACACCTTTCTTCTTCGTCCTCGCGCTTTAATTATAACCGATTCGACGGATTATTTCGCCTGCGGAACAAAAAGAACCTTGAGAAAAACTTCTCGATATGTCTCGTCGAATTTTAGACGGGGAAAGGGAAGAGAGCACCGTGGCGATGGAACAAGGCGCGCTCAGGGAAACTTATAATTGGGGGAAAAATTCGGGAGCGGATAATCTCGTGTCGGGCATCGTTCGAATTCCCATCGGGCTATGAAATATCGAATATGATGCCCGGTTCGTGATACCGCCTTGTACGTGTTTTACAGACATTAAGCCCGTTCGAGGGAGCGTGGTACGGGGCGCGTAAT